CTAAATCTGGTACAGTTCATTTATAAATTCAATTTACTGTTTTTCCTAAACTTCATCTCCCTTCATCCTATTTTTGTACTGAAGGATAACTGTTTTCCTTCTGTAATATGACACATACAGATAAGAAATGAAAATTCATAGAACCATTCAGAGACTTTTGTATCTTTAGATGCACTGATGTGATGCATGGGCAATATTTGTAGCAAATAAAAAAATATTAAGAATAACACTAACATTCTTGCATAGACCTCCTCTACAGAAAGCATCTTTTGTTTATGCCAAACTCAACAAAATATGTTGCAATTATTTGCATCTTATCTATTATTTTTCTTTAATATAAACTGTTTCTTAATACATCTACCACTTAATTCTCAACTGATACTCCCTGATGGAGTTTTGATTATGTAGGTTAATGTTTACTCCTGGGTCCTGTTTAATGCTTATATTTATGAATCATACCTTATGACCAGTTTTTATTTATTAACACCCAGGAATGTGTGACTAATATCACTATTGATAACACCTAGTTATTGGTTGAGGAACCAAAACTATGAGCTAGTTCAAGTAAAACTGGCTCGGTCACTGAATCATTTTTTATTTGCTCTGGATAGAAAGTAAATACCACAGCCTCCAGGATGGTCATTCAAAACTTTTATTTATCATTGTTCTCTTTTAGGATCCTGTGTCAATTATACAATTATATTCTTATAAATGAGAGAATTCTATTATACAATTATATTCTTATAAATGAGAAAATTCTAAAAAATGTGTGATATAGAGTGGCTTTGTGTAGTAAAAGAATACATATATATATATATATATATATAAACAATTTTAGAGCATTATAGTTACATATAATTCTGACATATTCAAAAAGGCATATAACATAGTTTTCTCTATTCCAATCTACTATGCCCTTCTCTCCTTTCACCGACTCTCTTCCTCTACTCTAGGGACATATCTATACTTTAATAGCAAAACTTATGGCCTGTGATTATTGTAAAGTGCAGAGATTATGTAATGATCTTCTAAGGTGTTATAACTAGAGGCTGAGGGTATGAAAGACAGAATTCAGAATGACTATAATCAGGAAAAAACATACATTCTTAGGCTATTTAAGATCAACTTCTTTCTCCTCTATTAGCATCAGTCTATCATTTAATGAAATCTGAACTCAAAAGTGATTTCCAAGGGCAACTCTCCTTAGGATATGTTTCCTTCCAATATTCTCAATTTATATTTGTCTTCAGGAAATATTAATAATGTAAGTATATATTTAGGTTTTAAAATACATTTATAAACATTCTTTCATTTGATCCTCTCAAAGCTCAGTGAAATATATTGGGAAAACATCATTCTACCTCTGTTTTTCAATTGAGGAAATTGAGGCACAAGCACTTATAGTAATTATTATTACTATAAGTGGGAGAGCTAAAGCTAGAGTAGAGAACTCTGACTTCAAATCCTGAGTTCTCTGAACTACTACAAGTCTGTACTTAAATAGTTATAGAACCCAGATACAAATACACTAATTAACATTCTATTGACTATTTTATGTATATGGATTCAATACTTATATTTTCATTTATAATGTAATCATATTTAAGGAATGATCTTCTGTCACAACGATGCTTTTATTTAACTGTCTCTTGACCAAACAGTCCAGAACATTCTCTGTTTAAGCAGTCCTTTTTTTGGTGCCTAATTGCATCCTTCCTTATGGAAACTGAACACCTACCCCATCTGCCACACCCCCATTATTGAATTTCCTTGATTGAATCCTCCCTTGATTAGTGCTTTCCACATACACTGGGATTTCTTCTTTGACATAAGTCTTTGCTCATTTATTTTTTTCTTCTTTGAACTCCTTTATCAAGAAGGTTATTTTTGTCTTCCCTGTAACTTCATTAATACAGGACAGTGAAAGATAAGAAGAGAACAGATATCAATGGAGGGAAGTGTCTTAATCCAACCAGGACTTTTCTTTCAATCACTTTCCTTGATCTAGCATGAGGATCACAGATATTTTTCAGGAAAACTTTTGGAGTAGAATATTATAACTTAGCTTAAAGTTACCTATAATGCATAACTATTCATGAACTTTTAAAAATTTCCCTGATATAGTCAGTCTCAAATCAAAGCTTGAATACAATTCATTTCAGAGCAGGACAGCATCTTGCCATTTTAATCATAGCTATATTTTATTGGTTAACTCAATTTATTGTGTTCTTATACATTAAGAGATATATGTATTACCTGAACAAGAGTAATTATCTTGCCTTTCACCCCTAAGTTAGCATATTTTCTTAAAACCAAGGAGAGTTGGGATATCCAGCAAAAAGAGAGAAGAATTTAATATAATCCCATTGCAGGAGGAAGGCAGGGGGAAATAGGATAAAAGATGCTGGATATCTCATACTATCTTTAGACTTTATCTTCTTCCATTTCTGCCTTTTCACTTCTATACTCTTACTGACCATTCTCTCAAGCTCTATTTAAGAACATGTCATTTATAGAAGCAGAGGAGAAGGGAGGAGAAAGGAAAAGGGAAATTCTCTGGACATATTTTTGAACACCTTTTAGATAAATTAGCTCAAGTTTTTTATATGACACTTAAACTTTCTCCTCCTGAGAAGAGACATTTTTGTTCTCAAATGCCATCTTGAAAGTGGAAGATAGAAGAAAAAGTGGTTGCTTTTCTCCTATATGGCCAAATCATGGTTATGAAAAGAACTATTGGGCTAGTCCAATAGATCACCTCTAGGGAGCTTCTGGATTACCCTGCTGAGGTCAGAGAACATGGCAGAGGTGCTATGTCACATATATTCTGTGCATTTTAAGTTGAAAGACTATGCACTCGTTTATAATTCCAATCATCTAAATTCACTCACTACTAGAAATTCACCATTACTGACATCATTCAAGATAGCATAAGATTAATCTGAAATTGACTATTCCTAGTTTTTTTAATACCTCTGAAATGTCTACTAAATCCAGAATGCAGAGAGGTAAATGATGCTCTGATACTCTGCATGTGTTTTTCTTTTCTCTGAGGCACCTGTGGTTCTGCATGCATTTGCTGCTTCAGGTTGCATCTCCAGTGTGATATCGTACCTGAGGGTGCTAACTAAATGGCACCAGTAAGAACATTCTATTTGTAGGTAATTCTATACAGTCTTTTATAAAAGTATAATATTGTGCATTTTCAGTGAGTTCTATTAAAGCTTAAGGTTAAGAAAAGCCAAAGGGAAATCTTTTGGTAGTTTTCAGTCTACTACACACATAGATAGCAGCAGTCCTACTCCCACACTATATGATATAACTCATAAAATCAATTACATGTATTTATTTAAGAGAGACATCATAAAAAATAGCTTGGTAACAATATAATGCATTATTTTTGTCAGAGTTTTGATATGGTATGGTCAAATTACAAGCTCTCCTATGAAATATCAAATGAGGTACCTTGGAAAATATATTGATATTTAGGTCCCCCAACCCAAGTACCTTTGCAATGAGGTATAAAAGGTTAATAGTAGGCATAACAGAATGGTTGCTGGACAAAACTGGCAGCTTATCCACTTGTTTACATAAGAAAAGCAATCAATCTTTTACCCTTATTTTTTGTCATCTTCATTTGTCCATATCCCATCACATCAAATTTTCAGGTCTTGATATATTTGATCATACTTCTTGGAAATAAATATCATGATACATCTTTCCAAATCAAAAGATTTTTTTAATGCTGGATATTACATTTTAAATACTTTTTAGTGTCATTGTTTCTTAAATTTACATTATTTATAGGTTATAGGAAATTTATTTAAAATAAGAAAATATCCATAGTTTTAACCATTATAATAATGAGAAAATTCTAGTCACCATCACCCTAACCATTGCCCAATAAAAAAGACAAAAAGACCATTCATGTTACATAAATTTGAGGTCTTTCTTTTTGTTCCACCTTCTGGTAAATATTTTACCTTTATTTGGAAAATACAGGGCTTCTATTCTTTCCATTGTTGGGGATAATTTAAAAGCTTACACAAGTGATAAATGGTTTTTATGCAATCCTCATTATTGTATCTGTTATCTCCTTCAATGGTTCATAATAATACATAGGTCTTTCCTGGTAATTGATCCCAAATTTCTTTTAAGTCAGCAAAAGTCACTCTCTCAGAGCCTGGGTTTCATTTGTTGTTTGTTTGTTTACAGGAGGAATCACCAAACCTATTCGTGACTGGCTTTTACTGAGCCCCAGGCAAATCCTATCTTTTGATCATTTATTTATGAGTATGATGTTGCTTTACAAGACGTAATTGCAGGATGAAATATTTAAACACTCTGATAGGGCTTCAGTAAAGCAAGGTGAATTTGCATTAAGAAAGAATGGATGCTAGTGAATTCTAATACTTTAATTGATGTGTCAGTTTACAATGATTGCAGGTAAACTCCATTTTTTGTTTTGCACACATACACATATTTTAGTAACCAAGTCAACCAGAAAGGTAATTTATATCAGTTGTTAGTCATTTAAAATATATGGTGAGGATTCTGTTATCATGGGCAGGGCGTCATTTTTCTTCTGAGGACTTCTGTCATCCTCAATAAAAAACAAATTGTACCTCTATTTCTAAAGCCTTTTCCCAGTAGTCCATTATGCATGCATTGGTATTTCAATACCTGATGCTAACTTGATGGACTCAGCCTCTTGAGGCTTTTGCAACCTGTTTTCTAGCTTCTTCTGTTCTTCCCACTAGTAAGTGAACTTAATATTTACAAGACAGAAATAACATCTGTAAGTTGACCTGTGATTTTGCACTATTTTCAGATGAGGTAAGTATACCCTGTTGATTACAGGTACTTAGACTTTTAGGTGAGTTTTGCAATAAAATGTTTCAGGTGCACTTTAAAGGTCTTGGCAGACCATGAACCTGAGTTAAATGTCTACATACTTTTACATTTTTTTTTAAACAAAAGCATCTGAAAAGGTAACCTACCTTTATGTGATAGACGTAACCGGGGGTAGGGGGTATCCGCTGCGCGACCTCCTGGCCAAAGCTCCAGTAGTAGGTGAGCCCACAGGAGCAAGGTGATAGCGCGTCCGGCGGATGCCATGCTGCGGTCTCAGGGTGCAAGTCCTCTAGAGCCTCACTTTAAGGCGGGTTTGAGTTTTACTTAGGACTTCACTCCAGGGGCAGCGTGCGAGAGGCTTTGTCAGAAATCGAACGTGTTGTCATCAGAAAGCACAGTTCCAAAGTGCCATTTGTCAAGCTGTATTTGGACACGTAAAACCTTCCTCTCCCCAGGACAGTTGTTTAAAAGCCTGGAGCAGGAGAGCATTCCGCGGAGGGCGTCTTCAGAGCCATGTCCTGTCTGGAGCTGTCTGCAGTAACTACGCCGCGGACAGAGGAAGAAGCTGTGTTCTTTTCAGTCACCGGCCAGCGTTTCATTCAGAAAACAAACCCAGCACACGCGCTACCTGCCCCCGCGGAGCTCTTCCCTCCGTCTCCCTGAAGCCTCTCAGAAGTCAGTCTCTTGCACCGACTTGCCAAACTGATAGTTTTAATTCACGTTTCCCCTGGCTAATTAAAAACAAGAAGTGCCATTCCCTCTAGGAGGTGCGGGATCCACCCAGCAGGGATGCCGTCTGTCAGTGTACTGTGTTTACAGGAAAGTTCAGGCAGGGTTGAGCAGCTACTTGCTGTTTCTAGGAAGTATTTCTGGTCCACGTGCCCTGCTCCCATCTCCCTCCCATGTATATCTGGCCCACGTTACTCAGCGTCTGCGGACAAGTCCGCGTTTAGCGGGGCGGGGGCGGGGCGGGGCGGGGGGGGGGGGGGAGTGAGCGGGGGGGGGGGGTGGGGTGGAGGGAACCATATATAATAGTCTGATTATTTAGGAATATCTGAGGCAAGCATATGGCCTCAGGAAGGGTCCTAAGTGTTCAGTCGCAAAGATTAATCCTTGAATAAATACAACTTCATTCTAAAGGGAATCTATTTGTAACCATCCAGTACCCAAATCAATTTATTCACTGTTTCCACAGTCTTTTTTCACGATTTTTTTTTTAATTGCTTTCATCTTAGAAATGTTATCTTTTAACTCTTTTGAGGAAAGTGTTTCAAGAGCCTGGGGAAGGAAAATCATCTGTAATTGTTTCATAGATAGATCAGAATGAAATTATTTGCTCAGGGAAATTCTTCAAATCAAAAGCTCATTGTTTTCTCTAAAGCACAACATAAATATTACTTAAATTTAAGAAAAAATAATTCGAAGTAATGATCTCCTCAGTAAAGTACCGGGTAAAGTTGAGATTGTCTACCCAATGGTTCCCTTGGAAAGCAGTTATTAGAAAATTCAGGATGGGAACTACCTTAGGATTCAACTGCTGTGCACTTTCACAGTTTATTTTCAAGATACTGTGTTTGTGTAAATAAGCTTAACACAATGGGTCAACTTTACAATCTACTTCCAATCAATCTGAAAAACTAAACCAAACACTCTGGAGTGGTTGGCATGGAAATGAATGGCATTATTTCAAGATACCAATGAACTGGAATAGATATTTGATTTGATAGTTGAGAGTTAAATGGTAAACAAATGGAATCAACAATGATAACTTTTCCTTTTTCTGTATTTTAAATGGTAATGAGTAAGGACACATAATTTGAGAATTATGTGCTTAAAATCATGTGATTATAGTAAAAATATAACTCAGGTAAGCTCAATATTTTACATTGTATGTAAGCAAAAAGTACAAGCACTTATTCTGTACCATTTTTCTAAGCATGATGTGTTCTTATACAAGCAGAACATATTTAGCAAAATGTAAATGTCACTGGATATTATAAATAATTAGATTTCCAAGGTCTACAAAAGATAACAAACTCTAAACATCATTTAACCCTAAAGCAAATGAAGTATTTAGAGACTTTTATCCTGGGGTGGTCTCTGAAGGCGCTTGCTGTTTTAAAAGCCAGGCTGATGAGCCACAGACCTAATTGTGATATACTGTATCTTACAAATCCTCCTTTACTTTCTTCCAGAATTGAAGAGTAAATAGCAATTTTTATATGCATTACCTAATGGTAGGATTCTGGGGAAATAAATATGGTACCTATAAGTTTTATTATAAATAATATCCCTATACAACTGAAATTCTAAGATTGCACAATGCCTGTCCTACTCTATTTATGAAATTGAGGCAATATAAGACATTATAACCATTTCATTAAGACACAAAGTCACATCTTTAAATGCCAGTGGGGAAATATATGCTATGAATGTCAGGTTTGTCTTCAGTTTCGTATATCATCCTTCAGTTTAGGTTAGGGCAATTCTGAAATACATGCCAGAACATTGGATTTCTTTGGGTTCCTCAAAATGTGCTTTTGTTTATTCATCAGTCATCACCATCATTGCATATTCCCTTTAATCTTATCTATGACCTTCTACCTTTCTCTCTATCTCACACAAAACATACAAAAAAAAAAAAAAAGCCTATTTAAAAACAAACCAAACAAACAAACAAAAAACCCCTGAACATTCAGAACTATCCATAGCCTCGGGTTTCCCCATGTGACTTTAGGACCATCTATTTATAATTACATATAAACCTAGAATATTATAGCAAATCAGGATATCAAAATCATACTACTTGGGAGAGATTTCTAGACACTTTTGGAAAATCGAAAATTTTACACCTTTGAAGATGGAAATTTTTAAGATGACATACTGAGCCAGGAGTATAGTTCAATGATAGAGCTCTTACCTAAGATACAGGAGGCCTTGAGTTCAATCCTCATCACCCCCTACCCCACCCAAATAAACACCTGATTTATTCCAGCAGTGGGTGAAGAGTTTCAGTGGACTGAAGATCTCTGTGATTAGCAACAATATCTAGTGATACTGTATTGGAATTGAGAAGAGCCAGGCTACCAGCTTGAACAATATCCAGTGACATGGAAAACTGGTAAGAAAATGTCAATAATGAAGATATTGCCTGTCAGGTGGGATGCCTCATTCCAAAATATTCCATTGTTGCTTGCCTTACACCATTCTACAAAGAGAAACCTCAATCTAATAGTGAGAAAAAAAAAAGGGAGAAAACTGAATACTTACCACGAGTCCCAGTGTCCCCCATAAGGGGTTCTGTCACTGATTACACAATTTTAATAGAAGAAGGGCAATTGCTGGCTAGAACAATTCTTCCGTGTAGGTGGTCCCAGACTATCTGTTGTTGAATCATGCTGAATATTTAAAAGAGCTGATTACTATCCCCCACCCCATATTCCTATTTTGCCTAAACTTTTACACATGGAAATATTTTACAGAGGTTCTTTAGGCCAGTGTTACCCAAATATTAGATATCCATTTGTTACACTTGCCATTGCTATTATAATAACATAGTTCAATTTAAATTTGTATAAAATAAAACCCTTATCTCATAGGCTTGATGTGCTCTAATGTTTTCCAAATACATGCAAAAGCAAACAAAATTGTGAACAATTTTCTCTACACCACTTAAAATTTCCTTGCATACCTTGACTATATTCACCAAGACACTCAAGAAATTATATCCCTTCTTTTCTTCCTTCCTGGACATATGGAACACTGTACTTCCCATTCCCGTAGCAGTACTTGAAGCCATTTGGCTAATTCTACTCTAAGATGAGCAGTGGAAATGTGTATGATAGCTGAACTGAGAGAATGAGATAGGTACTCCTAAGAAACCCTCTATTTCTCAAATTCTTTCTGTAGCAAAGGAGGGAAACTTAACATTGTAATGGTGAAGCCAAGAGACTGAAGCATCTTACATTTTGAAATCACTACACTGAGGGCAGTTGCCCAGTAAAATTACCCAGACCACCAGTAGATTTCATATGAGCAGGAAATAAACATGTTATATTAAGTTACCTGATTTATTAGTTGCCACAGCATTTCAAATCCTCCCTGGCTAAATGTACACACTTTGCCTACTTTTGAAATCATGCTCTTGGAAAAACACATAGTATCAACAAGTCATAGATACTGTATACCTTTACCTGTCTCTATAGCTGACTTCAGCAGAGGTTACAATATGGTCATGTAAAAATGTGTGTACTTGGTGTTTAAATAAGAGGTTTTTAAGTGATTTCCAGTGTCACTTTTTCAATGAAATAGGATTATACCCTTAGCTTTTCCAATTGGGCATTATACACAAAAATAATGTTATAAACATCATTTATAAGTGAACAGCATGGGACTATATTTCAAGAGCATTATGACTAAAACCATTAATAAGCCAAACCATCATAATAACAATGATAATGAATATTTTTAGAACTAAATTTTGTCTATGGTAGCCATGGAATTTCAGTTTCACTAATCCCTTTTCAACTCCTGCTATTCCAGGGATGTCCAGTCTGGAGGATCTCAAGTGTCCCATCAATATGACCTGCTGTTACAGCTGCTGCCACCATTGTTGCTGTTGAATTTTGTAGGCTAAGACTGCTGATACCTTTACTTGTCATTCATTTTGGATGCCTTGTATCACATAATTTGTGTCTATATATACCACATTTAGTGATTAAAGAAGGTGAGGACAAATTGATACCTAAATTACCCTTGATTTGTATGCTACTACAAGTCATCCTAGAGAATGGCATCCCACCGACTAGTACCATCCAGGATCCAATTCTGTCACCTGCATGAAAGAGGTTTGGATCATCCAGATGATTGATTATTTTCCCATTTAGACCAGCTATTCTGAGAAGAAAAGAAAAAGAAGGAGAAGGAGGAAGAAGAGGAGGAGGAGACTGAGGAAGAAGGAAGAAGAGGGGGAGGAGAAAGGAAGCGGGGGGAAGACTCAAAATGTGAGCAAAAATTTCAAAATCTTTGTTTCTCACTTATACTAGGTTTCTTCTAGGTTCCTGACAACAATAAAGAAAAACAGGAGAAACTTTTGACTCAGGTATGGGATTTAATAGGCTTTAATCAAAGAGCTATGTTTCTCATGCTTTTTTTGGGGGGGGTTCTGTCATTAATAGCATTAATTCTGAAATGTATTTAATTTTTTAGGTCTTGAGACATTTTCTTATACTCTTTTGTGGGTTATAAAGAATTCCTTAAAAAGACAGTTTTCAAATTTTATATATATATAAAATTTTATATATATATATATATATAAACAGGAACATTCATAAAATACTATAATTATTGCTTTCTATGAGTGTTGAAATACACACACACACACATACACAGTATATGGGGGAATATATATATTTGTGAGTTATTGGGGGGACCCATGGTGAATTGTTTGTAATACATTACTACTACTCCTAACAACTACTAGTACACTTTAAATCAATTACACTTTAACAGAATAAAGATAATGATTATTGTTAATTTGTGGTTCTCGATAACCTAGGCACCATG